TTCTGGTGAGAAGAATTTACATATTGTAATTTATATATCATTAAGTTTGAAAAGATATCTTAACTTTGATATTCATTATTTAACAATGATATTCTATTGAAAATTTCTAATATGTGTCAAAATCTATAAAGCTGTGTCAATATTCTTCTCTCATCTAATATAACAAAAAAATTATAGAATATCATTGTGAAGGTTTGTAATTCTGGTGAGAAGAATTGTAACACATTGTAACTTGATAATTTATGATTTGGAAAAGGAAAAGGTATTTAAAAATTGTAATGAAAAAGGTATCCATATGGTGTGTAACTTTAACTCTATTGAAAATTGTATTCTTGCTAACAAATGTCAAAATCTGTGAAGCTGTGTATTCTTCTCTCACATAACAAATTATAACAAATTATAACAAAATATTACAACAACACTATAAAAAAGTGTGCAAATTATGAAACAAAGGAAAGGAAATATAACATATTTATAATATAATCACATTATGTTTACACAGATAACGAACGAAAATTGTAAAATTTTTTTAACATCATCAGACTGAAAACTAGCAGGATTTATTGTACGCAGTCCAACACACCTTGAAATTCTCTCAACGTTACCAAAGCGTCTCCTCCACATTTACATTGAAATAACGCAATCTATTTTACACTGTCATCGCTTCTTCGATGATCACGAAACGAGCACCGCCTTCTTCGTCATCGATACAATTATACAAAGATACGGATCTCATCTGTTCTCCAATCAAGAAAAAAAGAAGAAGAAGAAGAAGAGAAAAAAAAGGAATCTCGTCGCATTCGTTCTTGCAAGATCCTTCGAGGTGAACTGGTTCGCTCGAGTTTCTAAATCATTCGCGTTTTCCGCCTCGTTGCCGCGAAACTTGGCGGAAACTCTGAGATTTGGAACAAATGCGCGGAACAAAAAGTAAAAATTTCGTAATTTCGGAGAATCTCTACGTGGATAGCATGGATGGAAAGAGAGGGAGAGAAAGGGAGAGAGAATTAGAAGCTGGTGGGTAATGATGGAAAGTTTAAATATAAAAGTTGAAGGAATGGTTTTAATGAAATTCGAGTTGGATAAACTTACACCAAACGTGACGTGCTGCTAAAAATCTAAATCGAGACAGGGATTTTGTTTTTTTTTTCTTTTCGATTGATTGAGAGATTTTACATTGTATCGAGCGTTCTTGTATTATTTAAATTTTTACGAAATTGAAATCTATAATTGAAAAATTGTTGAAATAAAAACCTGTATTGTATACACGTCTTAAAAGAATAATTCATGAAATTAAAATTTGTGAAAATAATTATCTACTAAAAATATTGATATATACGTACGTTTTAAAAGAATGATTCGCAAAATTTATAATTGTAAAATTGTGAAAATAAAGGATTAAAATTGGGATGCAAAGATCTGACTGTAGCAAAGATATTGACGTATATATACGTCTTAAATGAAAAAAAAAGAAGAAATAATTTATGAGATTGGAACTTGAGAAAATAAAGGATTAAAATTGGGATGCAAAGATACGACGTATACTGGGTGTCTCAAAATAATGACTCGTTAATTGTAAATTGAAATTCATAATTAAAAAATTGTAAAAATAAAAAATTGAAATTGCAAAAATCTGTATCAAATCTGTATTGACGTATATATACGTCTTAAATGAAAAAAAAGAAATGATTTATGAGATTGAAAAAATAAAGGATTAAAATTGGTATGCAAAGATACGACGTATACTGGGTGTTCAAAAAAAGAAGAAATAATTTATGAGATTGGAACTTGAGAAAATAAAGGATTAAAATTGGTATGCAAAGATATTGACGTATACTGGGTGTCTCAAAATAATGATTCGTTAATTATAAATTGAAATTCATAATTAAAAAATTGTAAAAATAAAAAATTGAAATTGCAAAAATCTGTATCAAATCTGTATTGACGTATATGTACGTCTTAAATGAAAAAAAAAGAAGAAATGATTTATGAGATTGAAACTTGAGAAAATAAATTGGTATGCAAAGATATTGACGTATATACTGGGTGTCTCAAAATAATGATTCGTGAAATTGAAACTGGAGTCGCAAATCATATATATATATATTATAAATAAGCAATTTTCATCGATTCATCCGTTCGTACATACGTAAGAACCGGCATAAAATAATAAAGGATTGCTCGATATTGCCTGGCCGAGAATAATCAGACGAAAGTCCTGTTTTGCCTCGATCCGATGGAAAACTGGCTAATATGTGCACCCAGTTACGGAATTACCGGTGGTGTTTCCATGGGAATGCAAGCTTCCGGTTCCCAAGGGAATTAATTATGCCTCGCCCAAAGTGTATCCTCAAAGTAAAAAGCTTTCATGCCTCGCCTGTGTCTGCCCTTACCACGAATACCTTTCCAAAGAGACCTTTTTCATTTTAACCCTTAGCGCGAAATTTATTTTCATACCAACCAGCTCTCTTTTCTCCCGTTTCTTGGAAAAATATTATTAAAAATGGACGGATTTATTATCCACCGGTATTTATCTACTTGGATTTACGCATCATTCCAATACGAAAGTTTCAATGTTTATTCAACCTTTTCCGCCACGATTTTTAGTTTCAACCAGTGGATTATTTAAAGGATGTTTGCAACGCTTAAAATATCCAGAATATCCAGTGGTGAAATATTTTTGGAATCGAAAAATGAAAGAAGACGGATATATTTTTCTTTTTTTCACGATCGACCCGGAATATCGATATCGACAACCTGGATACCATCACCCTTTTTTTTTTTCAATCGAATTAATCCGTTCGCTCGTGTTGCGAATTCTCTGGCAAAAATGCGAGAAAAGTATTCTCGACTCGCAATTAACGGCGCGGCTCGAGGCAAGTACATTACGTGCACGTGGACGGCAATTACGGTAGGAAATTGTTAAAAAATGATTGTTAATTCCCTCGGCCATTCCGATTTATGCTCCGTGGTTCGCCACCGTTCGAGGAAACAGGTTGGTTTAACGAGTTCTTAGCTCCGCGAAAATTCGCATTTTCAACGAGCCGCCATTTTTCTTTCTTTCTTTCTTTCTCGCCAAATAGAAATCCGCGACAAGCCCTCCTTCATTCGTTTCAAGTGGATCGAACATATATATATATATATATTCAAAGTTGATGAAAATGATCAATGAATGGGGGAAAAAAGAGAGTCCCTCATTTTTTATCAATTTTTTGTTTCTGTTAAACGATGAGATTGGATATGGTTCTTTTCCCCTAGATTAAGTAATTGTTCCCCTTTTCGTTGCTTTTCGAGGGTGGAAATTGATAAAATCCGATTCGGTGAATTTTCTTAAGTCTAAATTTTAGAAAAGCTATGGATAAAATTTTAAAAGTAAGTTCGAATCTAAGTTTTGACTGAAGAAAATGGATCAAAGGAATTTGAAATATTTCATTTCGTTAATTCCATCTCCTCAGATCCCTAGGGATCCCTAGATTTTAAAAAGCTTTCATATTTAAAACGTAAAACTAATCGAAATATCTCGATGCATTTTGAGAATAAAAGCGTTATTTTACCTACAATCAATCGTGCCAAAACTTCGATATCTGTCCAACCTCGTAAAAACTTTCATCACTCATCGATCGTTTTATATCCACGCTTTTCCTCTAAATTTTTATAGTGGAAAAATAATCGGCTCACTTTTCCTTTGCCATTCCATTACGCCGACATATATACACGGTGGACACGAACTCGAGACGTTCCACCGATCGTAAATCACGGGTATTATGCGGCGTTGTCGATTCTTCTTCTTCCTGTCTGGATCGCCATTAACGAGATATTTGATACACGCCCACGCAGCCAACAGCAGGATCGTTTTCATGCCTCATTACGGAGTCATGATACAGCCCTATACAGTTTCCATCGTTTTAATCGAGATAATCGGCGTTGTGTGTACGCCTCGAACATCGGAGAACGTTGTCATCAGTTTTAAGGTTAACCGTGAAAACGTGAATTTCGAGAGTTTTCAACGATTTCTATTTTCAATCAACGTTTCAAAAATTTCCAGTTCCCAATCGAAAGGATATCTCAAATATGGAGAAATATTCCGTTCGAAAAATGGTCGAGGATACTCGTACAAGCGAATAAAATATATATGTAGTCTGCGCGGATTAATTTCCACAACTTCCCGAGGAGAGACAGCTTCCTCCTCCTTTGAGCGAGTTTAAGCAACGAGTTTCGCATACTCGTCGAATACCAGCGCGATTTCCCTGCAAACGGTTCCTCGACCGTTTCTGATTTTTCTCTCGAGACCAAACACTGCAATTTCTCTCCTTGTTACTCTCCTCTGAAGCGTGGATGCTCCCTCGTTTGATCATTTCGAGGAGGGACGATAAATTTTCCTCTGCGAATTTGTTTTGCGAAATTAATTTTTCTCGTCGAAATTAATTGTGGAGTTCACTTCCTTCGATCTCAATTCGTTTCAAGAATTACAATATTCGTAAGAATAAATAAGAATATTAATCAATTTCGTACCGAGAAATTTACATTGGAACGCAGAGCATAGGCTCTACTAACATCGAGCAGAATGAGATTTGTAACCTCACTCCTAATTGTATACTCAACGATTTTACTGTAATTTCAATTTAATTTAATAATTCCAATGATCAGATTGCAATCAGATTCTCTGAAATGTTTCCACGCATTAATCATCCAATGTATCCCTGAAAATTTGAAGATCGGTGAAAAGATGAAGTTGGCATCGAGTCTTTCGACACTACTTCGAGCAGTGGTAACAATTTTGAAAGAGGAGTTAATGCGAGAAGTTCCGGCGGGGAACGCAATTATCCGCCACTGCTCGAGTGCCGTGGCTCAACAGACTTTCAACGTGTTCAACGGAAATTGTATTTTCTTCTTCTTCTTTCTCGTCCAACCGTGCCACTTTGTCCAATAGGAGTGGGGGGGAAGGTCTCTTGCCTCGAGAGATCGAATCGATAACCGATGATTCTTGCTGAAACTTTGCACGGAACGTCGTATGTGCGACGGTTGTTTCGTCTTATTTTTTTTTTTTAACAAATTTCGCGTGGAATTAAAACCAAATAGATATCCAAGGCGTTATTTTGTGGGGAAAAAAGGTGAAAAGGTAGGTTTCGAATCAACTCATTCTATAATTCAAATTACTTCGCGATGTAATGGATACAGAAGATATAGGTTAGATCAGAATCAAATGATTTCTCATTTTAATTAGGAATTATATTATTTGGATCGAGTTTTTTTTCACCTTTAAGACCCTTTCTTTGTTGGATAGTACCAGGATCGTGTGCTGCTTCAGAAAAGAGAATTACATCCACAACTTTGTTGTTATAATTCAAGGGTAAAATTCCTCGCTTTAACTAAAAGATGATAGTGGAATCTGAATATATGTAATTTGACTACCAGTGAGGGAAGTATACTTTGCTATCTGTTGATATAGATTCATCCTTGAACAAATGTGGCTTTGAATCGTATAATAATCCTAAGATTTAGGTTAAGTCTCCAAGTTAGAGAAAGCGAGTGCTAAAAGTAGATACCAGAGACAGAGATAAACAGAGAGGTGTAAGAAAGTGAGAATTAAACGCGAGAGAAAATATTATGGAGAATATATAAGTCTTATCTTAATGGTTTTAATGTAAATTCGAATTTAATGGATTGTTTTATAGAGAAGAGAGAAAAATTAAACAAAGGTAAATATCGCGGAAAGGAAACAAGGATCTCTTCTTCGTGCTCTTTCGAGTGGCCGGTTGAAGAGTGCTACGTTAAGGAAAGTTTTAAAAGCACGCCTTTAATTCCATTCAATGCTATCACTCGCCGTTGGAATGAACATTGAAAACACAGCCACTGTGAAACTAATGAAATTGATTTGCACCGTTCCTTCCCGACTTGGTAAAGAGTTCAAGCTCTCGAAGACACTGTTTCTTTTAATCTTATTTATTGTGCTTGTAGCTTGAAACGGAGCTGCCATTTACCACGGATCAAAAAGAAAAAAATAATAAAAAATTGAAAGATGTATGTATTTTTTTTTAATAATATTGCGAATATTCAACGAAACATTTAACATAAATACTTTAAAATTATTTTTATTATTTTTATTTCGAGAATAATTCGTAAATAAATGAATTTTTTTTTTTCAGAATAAAAAAGATCCGATTCCGAAAGCATCGAACAGTTTATTCATTACGTAATGAGATTACTAGGAAGAGAGATATTGTATCACGAGCTACGTAGTTTCTTCTCGCTTATATCGAAGATTCGCGCGGAAACGGAAGTTCGACAAGGCACTACTACTCTCCGCCTCTTCGAGACTACGCATTTTAATGAAGATTATTAAAATGAGATGGAGCTTAAGAAGTTCCGAAACAATATCTTAACGCGACTCGAGTTACGTGGCGAAGATCAGTGGTTTAAAGTGTGGAAGAGAAGAGAATCTTTTTCGAAAATTAAGGAACGAATTTTATCAAGTAAACGAAACAAGATTTAAAACAGTAACGGCGGATGGAAAATTCATCTTTTCGAAATTTAAGTAAAATTTTTAACGAGAAACGAATTACAAGATTTAACCTAACCTTTAATTAAATTGGGATATTCGTTCTCAGATTCGATTTCTCAGTGTTTTTGGCTTTGAAAAAATTCTGAAATTGCTCATCAAGAGCATTTAATTTGGAACAATTTGAAACAAATTATCGTTGAATTTAAAGTTGAACAAAACTTTTTTCCAACAATCTAACCTAATTCAACTCGGGACATTTATTCCGAAACTCTTTTTCTTATCGTTTTTTTTTTTGGGGGGGGGGGGGAGTTGAAAAAACTCTGAAAATACTGATCAAAGTCTTTAATTTGGAATACAAATCGTTAAACGAGAATTTAAAACTTTTTCGATAAAAATAAAATCTCGTTTCCAAGTTATTTGACGTTAAAAATTTCCCTTTGATCTTCAGTCATCCACGACAAAATAAGTAGAACGAAAAAGGGGGAGAAAGGTAATCTCAAATTTTTTTATCACCTTCGATCGTAGTTCAATGAACTTTTCGCGAAAATTGCTTTTTTTTTTTGGTCTGTTTTGGACGACAAGTTCGAAAAAAAGAAAAAAAAGAAAAAAAATTAAGAAGAATAGAAAATAGAAAAAAAAAAAATAAAAACAGGCGAAGCTTAATTAAATTTCGTGAATCGTTTTCATCAGGTGACTTCGCCTCTCTGGCTTTTATGGAAATTTGCCGAAAACTCTCGTGTTGAACAGCTAAATTCGCAACAAATGAAATTTCGAGGATTACAAGCCGCTGAAACGTGAGAAAAATATTAATCCGAATGGGAACATGTTTCGCGATAATGTACCCGTTTGTCAACAAGTGAACAAGATTGTCGTGCGATTGTGGTGAGATTTTCCTACAAAGTGTGAAAATTTAACTTGAATTATCAGTTTGTTGAAAAAGTATAATTATTATCGATTCGTTTGATGATAGATTCTTTTTTTTTTTTTCTTATAGTATTCGTTATTTTTTGTTTCTCTTTTATTTCTCTTTCCAGATGAAAAGAGACGAGAAGAGAAGAGGATAAAAATTTCAAGTGAACGAAAATAGAATAAAATTCCAATTTCAAGGAATGGAAGAGTAGACAAGTTTTCTTTCATACATCCATCCAACGATTCTCAATTCAACGTTTCTCGAGCAGAGAAAGAATAAATAAAAATTCCGACTTGCTTAAAAAAGTAAAGTAAAAAAAATTCAAAAACTCGAATTTAACGGAACAGAAGGTTAGACGATTGATCAGTCGACGTTGCGACATGCAAATTTCCCGTCACTTGTTCAATTCCAAGGTTTCGGTTCAAGGGTGCAACCGTGTATGCAAATGCGTGACGAGGAAGAGAAAAATGAAAACGAATGACTCCGCATCAGAAGAGAACAATCTCTGAGGTAGGTTTAAGTTGGTAATTGCATGTGTCAATTATTCCAGATCAGATTAATAAAAACAATGCCATTTGTTCACATTAAATTCAAAGTGTCAAGAAATAAATAAATTCAAGTACGAAATTTTATCATAGTCGTATTCATAGAAGAAAATATTGTAAACTCGTTTTAGATCAAATTCACGATCTTTGTCCAAAGAAATTAGGTTATGTATAAAGTAAATTTACTTAAAGCCAATTTTAGGTTAGGTAGTTACATTTCATTTACAGAATTAAATAGTATGATATGCAGTATAAGTTTATTGTATTTGTAAAAACCGTTCAAATCGAATTCAAAAAATGAACAAATTTAACTATAAAATTTTATCATAGTCGCATTCATAGAAGAAAATATTGTAAACTCGTTTTAGATCAAATTCACGATCTTTGTCCAAAGAAATTAGGTTATGTGTAAATTTACTTAAAGCCAATTTTAGGTTAGGTAGTTACGTTTCATTTGTATTTACAGAATTAAATACTATAATACGCGGTGTAAGAATATTGTGTTTTAGATTGGTTAGTTGGCCAACAGCGATTCCCGACATTTCTTGTATTTTTTATCATCTGCGTGATCGTGTGATGGCATTCGTGCATAACTTTTGCATTACCGCGATTCTATCATCTAGTCCTTGGATCAATTTTTGTCCAAGAAATTCCATTATTCCACGATTATATATTGCACCACTGAAAAAAAAAAAAAGAAAGAAAAAATTGTGAAGAGAATTCTGAGAATGCCAAAGTTCATTTTTTTTATCCACTTCCGGCTAACAATCTCGGCATACCTTTATCGATTATGCGTCACCATGCGTTTAAATACCTACAATGGAAGAATTGAAATCTCGTCAAGCTTAAACGTTATACGTGTAGAATGAATGTGAAAAAGAAAGTTTTCTATTAAACTTGCATTCTCTTCCTTCCTTTTTCTCATTTCTCCCTTTTTATCCATGGTGTGAATAGTTTTTTTTTTTTTCTTTCGAGAATTCGGATCAATTTCTTCATATGTACAGTACGGTCGATAACTTTTGTAGGTTCTCGTACAAATGTTACCGACCTGGAAGGTAAAGTTGTTTGGTGAAAAGATATTATAATTTTTACAATCGCATTGGACACAAAAGGCGAAGTGTACTCACGATCTTAACCGTTTGTGTCACGAGTGTGCATCACCGTTCGCGATAATCGAGACATTGTTACGTGACATTTATAAATCGTGATATCGCTGAAACGACATCCAATACCTTGTGCATCCATTCGTTGCTGAGAATTACAAGCTGAGAATTCTAAGGGATAATTCTTAGAAGCAAAATGAAATATCGAAATAATTCTTGAAAATAAAACTTTGAAGCGGGTATATCGAGCAATAGATAATTTTCTCTCTCGAAGTGCACGATTCCTTTTACCTCGAAAATTGATTTTTCGTTCGTCGATCGTTTTGCCACTCGATTAATCAGCATATATCGATAACTGTGTTAATTAAAGTGCATTGCGTTTATTAAGTTGAAAGATCGATCGAAACTTATAAATAATTCAATTCTGATTCGTTTCAGACGTACACGTGTGTGAGTGTGAGTGGCGTATAAACGTCGTGAACACGTCTATTCAGCTTTTCGAACGGGGATAACAACGGCTCTTCAGATTACCAGAAATGGCATATCTTGCGCGTGGCTGTTCGACTCGAGATGACATTTAAGACGAACGAACGAAGGCGTAAATGGAAATTGGGAATTTTTAAATCGAAGGTAAATTTTCGTATTTATTTATTTATACGACTAATTATTTAGAAGATAAAATAAATGTGAATTGGAGGATAAACAGGTTTGTACAAATAAATTCATGTCTTTTTAATACTCTCTTCTCGTATGATTTTTCATTTCATTTTTTAAAAATTCGAGAGAATTTTGAACGCAATTCCGTTTTCATCAAGAGATACAATTCTCTCAATTTGAATCTCAATATCGCATACGCAATTTACGTATTTGTTGATACGAATAATTGTCCGATATTATAATAATTTTTGTAATATATATATATCACGATTCGTCACTCCTCTTTCTCTTCGTTCTTTTTCCAAAAAATTATTCCACAATTACTGTTATTATTGTAAGTGATGGAATCGAGCATATTTGGTTGTTCCCACCGATACCGATTTTTCAATCAAAATTTCTAATTCGTTTGAACGTTTGCAGATAACGTAATGGATGGTCAATTTTCGCCACGTGTTAGCGTGCTCATCTTTCTCGTATAATTCAATCGTGTCGTGTTGTGGGGAATTCCCGCGAAAAAAACACGTTTATGCTCATCAGATCGAGAATCTCATTAATAACACGGTAAATTCATACGATGACTTTTTAATATTCAAAGATTTTTATGTCATAGAACGATCATCGATACTACGTTGTTCAATTAGTATGAAAAAAATTAAATAACAACTTAAATTGTCGTTGCAAATTAGGTATTAGATAATTTTAAAAGGATAATTGTATTTCTTTATTTTTTCTTCCTCATTGTTTTATCCTTTAGAACGAAGGAAATTGTAAATCAATGATTTTTATGAAAATTGATGATTATTAATGAGACTCTTCTTCTCGCATTATCATTTCAAATAAATTATGAATTTTTCATTGAATCAACAAATTCGAACAAAATTTATTTCATTTTGTTTTTGGATAATTCGTTTTTAATGAAAAAAAAGAAAACAGGAGAAAATAACAAATATATAGGACACCATTGACATCTCGTTCGATTATCAATTTTTCGTATTCACGGTTCGTGAACAACAGATTAATCCGATTGCAGAGAATTGTCGTTCGACCGTGCTCCAAACCGGGAGCTGTGAATGAATTATTAATAATGGGCGAGAATCTGTGTGATGGAACGCAGGAACGCGTGTTCGATCACTTATTTGAATCACCATCAACGTGACTATCACCTGATTGAAGATAATTATACCGATGTCGACTAAAAATAATTGTTCACGCTTGATCCGAGTCGACCGATGATGAATTTCTGTTTAACGAATACTTCTTTGAACCCAGTCACATTCCGAATCGATCACAGTCAGAATCTTTGCGATTATGCAGACACTGTTACTCTCATCACTTTTTTCTAATTACAAAAAATTTCGAAAGTACTTTTCCAATCATTTCATCATAATGAAAAATTTGCATGAAAATCATTTATTGCAAAAGTAGAATTGTTATAGCGTATATACATATTAAAATACTAATAATACTAAGGAAAAAATGTTAAGTGAAAATAATATTCAAAGAGACTTTTACTCTTAAAAATTAAATAAAATAAATCGACGTTCGTGAATGAAACGAGTTTTTCGGATTGTTGACCTAAAAGTGTGAACTGAAAAGATTGCTTTGGAGAATATTCTTTTTTCCTAGGATTCGTTAGAGGACACTAGATTCGCTAGGGAACACTAGGCTGCGATTCGCTAGAATCTAGGGGCACTAGAAAAAATATATTTCCAAATATCCTTAGATGGTAATTCTTTATCTTGAAAATTATTACGCTCTAAAGTTATTTTATCCAGATTGATAGACACTGATAGTAACTTTCGTTAATAATTTTCGAGAGATTTATTCTGTTCGGATTTCGTTGTGAATTTCGTGGAAAAGAACCAGAATCCAGCATAAACAAAGCTGGATTTGTGAAGGAACACAGCTCGTAAAGTATGGAAACCGGGAAAAGTGCATACAGATGTATACACGCATAATTGCAGAGAGAAACAGCTATTCGAGTCGAGTGTTTGATTAACGAGCTTGCACCGCGCATGCGCGCGTACCGCGTGCATTTAACCGAGTTATGTAAATTATCGGAGAAGCATTGGGTCGTATCGGTAACGTGGAAAGGAAACGAATTTGTTTTATCGATCGAGCTGAAAATGAAAACGCGAAGAACGAGACGAGTTTGTTTGCGTGATATTGACGATGAAACGAAATTCTTCTTTTCCATCTTGCTCGTTTTGGAATAAAAATAAGCAGATTGGATTATCCTTGTAATTTGATTGATTAAATTCCTTATAAA